TCAGTAGATTTTACCACTTTGGAAGTTTGGTAGGATTGGATTTCCTATATCTTGTATGAGGTTGGGGATAACCACTCTTCCGCTGGCCAGTAAGGCGCGACCAAAATCAGTTGTAACTTGTTAAAGTCATTTTGATTTTCTGTAATACCTTTGGTATAGTGCCGATTGGAGGCACGCTGACGCCGCTTAGTCTTTCCCACCGATATGCTCAAAGGCGTCCGTTGCCCATGCTTGAGGATCTGGGACCGGAGAGAAGAATGTTGGTAGTTGTTTGTTGAACTTGGTTGCGAACAAATCTACCAGTGGGGATCCTATTGTCCAGAATGATGTCCTTGAATGCCTCTGGGTGTAGCATCCACTCCGTTGGTGGCGGATTCATAGGATCGGGATAGAGGAAAAGATCTGCTATCAACATTTCCTGGCTCCGGGGAATGTGCTGACGCTTTTATGTCGACATGTTCAAGTTGTCTACTATGCTGAATAGTTGAAAGCTGAGGTCCAACATGCCACTTGACCTTGTTTTTCGGACCCTTGTTTGTTGATGAAGAACGCCACTGTGGAGTTGTCCGTATGGATCATCAGTTGAAGCGTTCCTTAGTATGCTGGACCAGTGTAGTAAGGCGTTTATAGCGCTTTCAACTCTAGCATGTTGATGTGTAGCTTTTTGCTCCTGATTCGACCACTTTCCCGATGCCACTTTGTTGTTTAAGTGAGCTCCCCATCCTTGGTGGGACACATCTGCGTAGAGATGAGTGTTGGATCCGTCTCTGCTAAGTAGGTTCCCTGCGCAGACAGACCGACTTCTGTGTCCACCATAATAGGTATGGTTTCAGTTCGTTCGGTAGGACAAATGGATCCAGAATGGATCCAGACTGCCTCTCTGGGTGTCTGGCGCCCGACATGAGGAGACCGAGTAGACTCTGCCACTCTCGTAGTGGTAACGGAGAGAGTAGTGCTTGTGATACCATGGCTTGTATCTAGCTTCCTAGCTATTCTTTGAGACGACAATGCGATTCTGCGGTGAGATGAACATCTTCCCTAAAAATCTGCTCATATCCTACGTTGTAGGTACCCTTGCCATGTCCGTAATGGCAGCGAAGCAACATTGTCCAGTTCTGGCAACATGACTTGAAGTTTATTTCTTCAATCTTCCAATAATATGTTAAAAGGGCCTGTTGTCAGAATCGCCACAAGTGCAGTGATGATGCATAATTCGTCGTCTCTAGATGTACTGGAATTGCCATGGCTGTGAAGTCTATTTATAGTAGACTGGCTGCCTCGAGCAGAAATCATCAAACGTATCTTGCTGCAATTCGTCAGATTACCAATCTTCAAACTGCAGACAGGTAAGGTCCTTATGACCCGTGAAGAGGGTCAAATCACGCTGTACCCTGCTAACTGGACTGTAAATGGAGCCTTCCTCCCACGTTGAAAAGTTGTTTACGATTGTAGATAACTGCCTGACACGTGAGCTGTGCCTGACTTCTGCACAGGGCATTGTCTCTCATGGACCAATCAGATTGCAGCATTTGATTCATCTCAGATTCCCGCGATGTGACGTCACCGGTGTTGCAGGAAAAAGATCCTTGTAAAATCTTGTGCAGTCGATGATTTCTCTCATCAACACTCGGCTTTGTCCGTAACTTCCCGGAATACCCGAGTGAACACGTGTATAGCAGGCTGAGGTGAAAAGCATCAAAGATTTAAGCCTCGTATTAATACCGATGCAGGTTGACTTGTTTCCCTGGCTGTTGTGACTTTTCTCTTCTTCACTGAAGATAATGCAGTCGTCATTTTATACAGATGATCAGCTGAAGTTTCATACTTGCTTAACGTTGATACTTGTAGACTGTAGTCAGTTTCCAAGTCTCAATGAAGCGCTTAAAATAACCGATTGTGTTGAATTACACAAACGTTATTGTAGAGCTGTCATATTTCTTGTCTCTAGCTCTCTGAATTCCTGCAAATTTAGCTGCCAGATTAGCACCATGATGTCTGTCTGATAACGCTGGCCAGTGTATCGATGGACTTGATCATCATAACTTCTCTGACTCCTTCAACTTCTTCTTAGCCACCTTCACCTTCCTCTGCTAAGAAGATATTCTGTTGCTGCCCATGGAGCTCTGAATAGCCGGTTTGGTGAACTTCTCACTCCATTTTACAAGATGATAGTAGACCTTGTCTTCATAGCAGTGTTAATCCCTACCATGTAGGCGCTTAAATGTTCTGACATGAACTGTTGGTCTTTCTTTGGGTTATTAATAAGGCTGAGTAGATCATCCGATCATCTTCGATGTAGAGTTTGCAAACTTCGCGAATTAGGGTTTCATTGATGGCTCTTGACCTGGCTAATCCTCAAGAAGGTACCGCCTAGTGGTTGTGTCTAGTTGCTTAGCTTCTTGTCCTCCACTTTATAAGTCCTGATGCGAAAGGCCATTGATGAGTTTATAGTTTTCATCTACTTCTGGGGCCTTCATGAAGGGTTCCATATTGTGTAGTGAAAATCTCTTTTTAGCATTAAACGGTGGAATGCTTTGACTCTGATACTTCGCTGCCTCTTAAAGGCTGAGCTGAGGTTGTCTGGGGACGCCCAGTACCGGATCTATGGGTGGCAGCGTTAGCGCGTCAAAATCGCCGTTAGACATCATGTACGCGGTAGGCTTCATTATTCTCTCTTTAGATGGTGCTGCAAGCTCCAGACCATTAGCCATCCATGATTTGATCTCTGTATCGGAGAAGATGACTCTCCATCATCTTCCGGTTTCGGCGTGTCTCGCTCGAAAGTTCGTTGCTGTTGGTCCTGATCTCTAGGTGGGAGATTCTATGTGTAAGCTCGCGCCGCAGGCACTCGTGGAATGCCTAATTGGAGATGCACTAGGTGATCTGTATCGCAGGTGACGCACCAATGTAGATCTTGGCCAGGACAACCTGTGGCCGCCCTGAAGATTAGACCCTGCGATTTCGTCTTGTAGCCGGAGTTCTTTCATAATTGTGTTTCTTTCGCTGAATGCCATGTGCTCTGTAAGTTGTTTGTCCAAGAGTGTCTTACCCAGTGGTCCTTCTTCTGCTAATGCCTTCGCCAGATCGCCGCCACGGACGGTGTTGTCATCCGATGTTCTTCACTTAATCGCTTTTCTTTAACGCAGGTTATGCCCTTTCATCCCGCTTTGAGGTTTTATGTTTTGCACCTCCTTGCAGACCTGCCTTCTTCTCTGTAGTCTTCTCCTGAGCTTAACCTACGCTCCATCAGGTCCATCATCTGCTGGGTAAACTGCTGCATAAAGATGCCCGGGTTGAAGGTTCTGCGCCGATAACTGCTGTTGTTGTACAGGATGACGCCGATTCACAACAATGTTGAGGTGTCATCTAAGGACCGCCTGTCCTCTCTGGTAGTTGCAGTTCGCGCAGATAGGCCGCCTGACTGCGCTTGATATAGTTGCAGACGCCAGTGTAGAAGAAGACCTCATCTTCTTTTCTCGCTGGTACTTCAGGATGAGGATCGGCGCTCATCGTGAAACGTCTGCTTCGGCCCAGTGGGTTGATATCCGCGCTAAGCGATCTCGACTTCTTTCACTGCCCCCACTGACGAATTTGACTGTAGACTTCTTGAAGACGGGTTTAGTCTTTCGCGAGCAGACGGGCGCCCTGGTCTCTTTAGACCAAGCGATGAGGATTGGTTGAGTCGAGACGGCCTTTTCCTAAGGCCGAACCTCTTCACCCTTTCTGCTGCTCTGAAGACGCCACCGCAGCAAATTGGAATGATGTACCTCAACAGACAACAACTCCATCGTTATTAACGCGATTCACCCTGTTGAGACATGACTAGTAACTGCCGCCTCAATTGTCCTTGGCACGCCTATGAACAGAATATAAATAATTACAAAATTCAATTTGAGATAAATGTTGACAAAGTTTACAGCGGAGGCTGGAAGAACATATAGAAGTGCAGTTAGGGGACATAGTAAATGCGATCAGCAGCCAACAATCGAAAACCTGTAAGAAATGCAAGTTTTCATGAAATGTAAACAAGTTGAGACATGTTGTCAACAACGCGAAAAAACGGACAAAATTAGAATAAATTCTCTAAAACCATATTGTTGGTAAATCCTTGATAAAGCCCTTTATACAGCCTAATTTAGTATAAAAGCCTAAAATTCAAAGGATATATGTCAGATAGGGGACCCAGGGCTTCACAACCGGGCCCAATTAGTGCTTAAGAAGGGAGAGTGAACAAGCATGGCTGTCACATCATGTGACCTTTTCAAGGCCAAAAGATGGATTCAAGGGAGGCAACTGGGGTGAGTGATTTTATCGCCCACTTTTTAAGGGAGCTTCAAAAGGATTCAAGTGTTCTACTACAGTTCGCAAGAAGAAGAAGACAAGCAATTAAGCATGAGTCAGGATAAGGAAAAAATATACCTCGTTATTGTATTGTGCATCACATGATCATCACCTTGTTACAGGCATTTAAATCTGCAAATAATACCATAACCCAGCGCTAGTAGCAAACTCAGTGATAACTTATTGTCACGCGATTGGAATTTCTACAAAAGTATTTGGGCTTTTTTCTGTGGACCAGCTAATAAATTTTGTTGTGTCCATGTCAACTTTATGTGTATAGGATGGTGAATTCGCTGGCCCTGTAAATCTCTGACAAACGGCCGTAACATTCACCGTCATGAGGGGCAATCTAATTGGGTGTAAAACTATTGGATTACTTGCTGTTATCCAGGAACAAGGCCCAAGCTTTCTAGGCCTGACTGTTTTAAGGGACAATCTGTAAATACGAAATGTGTTGCATCGCCCATCAGTATTTCTTTTGAATTATTGTCAAGAAACTAAATATACTGAAAGAGCTTTGCAGTGCTTCATTGTCTTCTGACCTTTGTGACTCCAGGTTCCCTTCTTTGCATGTAATTTCTGAGTCTTCACAGGCCAGTGTTGCTCAGCTGTCCATCCTGGTTGAGCTGTGGTAGGGAAGAACTCTGCAGCCCCTGCATCGATGAATGCTGGAAGCTATGGACTTGTCCTTGATTGCCCACACCATCTCACAACCCTCAATCTCATAGCTGTTCACATGAAACAAACAACATACCTTCAACTGCAGCTCTAACACAACCAGAGTTTTATGTGACACGAGGGATGGTGCATCAAGTAGATACAAACATACAGAATGGACACACAGAAAAATGCATTTTAGAGTCAAACTATTTTTCATACTTATATCGAACTAATAGCTTATCTCTCGATCAATAAGATACATATATTTTAAATACATTGCATAGGGAATTTTCATATGGGTATATCATACGTAGGAAGTCTAAGTCTAACATCTAAACTGGTATTGTAAAGAAACGACACTAATGTCATCAGCTTTGTTGTAACACATTTTATAGAACAGGCCCCGATTTCTCGAAACAAACTTAAGTCTGAGTTTTGACTTAAGTTAAAGTTTTTACTCAAATTTGACAAAATGCATTTCGCAGAATGATCTGAAATCGATATTAAGCTCAAACATAGTAGACAATTTGAGTTTGGTGGATAGATTACTTAAGTTGTTTGGGCTTTTTATTTATAAAATGCAGTTGAGGTAAGAATTCAGCTGTTTCAAATTGTCAAACTCAGTTTGAAATTTGAGTAAAAACTTAAGTTTGTTTCGAATAAATCAGGGCCAGAAGTACAACTCCATACACCAGTTCTGTTGCGATGCCTCCATTGCCAACCACCACAATCCGTCTTGCTGCAGTAAGTCTCTGTTGGAACACCTGAAGCATACAGAGAGCATACCCTGTCTGAGGATCTAAGGCAGTTCATGTGTCAGATCAAGGGCTTTTCAGATCTTATACCACTAGGGTATGTTATGTCCATTGTTCTGGCAGGTTGATTTTCTGTGTATCAACCTTCTATCTGCACGTGCAGAGGTTGATATGTGGATAACAACCTTGGCGGTGCAGGAAACGCACGTGCAACAAGCAATGTACAAGTCCATTCGGCGCCCACGTGGTATAGTAGTTAGCACCTTCTCGCGGGTGATTAACGCTTCAAACGCCTGGACGGCTCGAGCGTTGAAATCCATATCACCCTTGAGGAGGGTGCTAATCTATACATACAATATTTCATAAAGAGTACCTTTAAAGCCATTTCCACAGAGCCAAAGAAACCAACCCATTTCACAACAAATCTGCACTACCTTGCCTTTTAGATGTACATGTTGCCTTCAGTTAACATATAGAAAGAACCTAAATGCACTAGATTTTCATTCTAAAATATGACATGTGGTCTGAGGAAACACATGAAAGTCCCATTAACTGCAATACTTCCAAGAAGAAAGTTTATCAAATGACATGACTTCCGATCTAACATCTATGCATTTCTGGTCTATGAAAGTGCATGTCAGAAGAAGCACAATGTTTTATTTATGAGTTCAATGGCTCTAGGCTGCCTTGATAAAAAAAAACAATTTGCATTTCCAGTCCTTCACTTATGGTTTGGAAAATGTGTCCATTGAAATATGCCCTTAAAACAACAAGTTCATGCCTTTTGCTACCTTGATGTTAACGTAATTAAGTCATATCTGGTTTAATGATCTTGACCTAAATGATACTATGTGATACCAGCCCAAGAACTACCTTTCAGAAAGATCATTCCAGCTGCACCAGGTGGAATTCTAAACCCTTACCACATCAACTGGTCAACCTTACAGGAAGACAGCATGTATATACTTCTTGTGATTTGATTGTCCAGCTCTAAAACATCTGCAGGAACACACCTTGAGATACAAACCAATTCTGGTGTATTACTCTTAAAACATCTGCAGGAACACGCCTTTGAGATACAACCAATACTTGTGTATTACTCTAAAACATCTGCAGGAACACACCTTTGAGATACAACCAATTCTGGTGTATTACTCTAAAACATCTGCAGGAACAGCTTTGAGATACAACCAATACTGGTGTATTACTCTAAAACATCTGCAGGAACACACCTTGAGATACAACCAATACTGGTGTATTACTCTAAAACATCTGCAGGAACACGCCTTTGAGATACAACCAATACTGGTGTATTACTCTTAAAACATCTGCAGGAACATGCCTTTGAGATACAACCAATACTGGTGTATTAATTCTAAACATCTGCAGGAACATGCCTTGAGATACAACCAATTCTGGTGTAATACTCTAAAACATCTGCAGGAACACACCTTGAGATACAACCAATACTTGTGTATTACTCTCTAAAACATCTGCAGGAACACACCTTTGAGATACAACCAATACTGGTGTATTACTCTAAAACATCTCCCAATCTCCAGGAACACGTGGCCTTTGAGATACAACCAATACTTGTGTATTACTCTAAACACCTGCAGGAACACACCTTGAGATACAACTAATACTGGTGTATTACTCTAAAACACCTGCAGGAACATGCCTTTGAGATACAACCAATACTTGTGTATTACTCTAAAACATCTGCAGGAACATGCCTTGAGATACAACCAATACTGGTGTATTACTCTAAAAACACCTGCAGGAACATGCCTTGAGATACAACCAATACTGGTGTATTACTCTAAAACATCTGCATGAACATGCCTTGTGAGATACAACTAATACTTGTGTATTACTCTAAAACACCTGCAGGGACACACTGTGAGATACAACCAATACTGGGGTGTATTTCTCTAAAACACCTGCAGGAACATGCCTTTGAGATACAACCAATACTGGTGTATTACTCCTAAAACATCTGCAGGAACACACACCTTGAGATACAACCAATTCTGGTGTATTACTCTAAAACATCTGCAGGAACACACCTTGAGATACAACCAATTCTGGTGTATTACTCTAAAACATCTGCAGGGAACACACCTTTGAGATACAACCAATTCTGGTGTATTACTCTAAAACATCTGCAGGAACATGCCTTGAGATACAATCAATGCTTGTGTATTTCTCTAAAACATCTGCAGGAACATCTACTTCTGAGATACAACCAATACTGGTGTATTACTCTAAAACATCTGCAGGAACACACCTTGAGATACAACCAATACTGGTGTATTATTCTAAAACATCTGCAGGAACACACCTTTGAAATACAACCAATTCTGGTGTATTACTCTAAAACATCTGCAGGAACACACCTTGAGATACAACCAATACTGGTGTATTACTTCTAAAACATCTGCAGGAACATGCCTTGAGATACAACCAATACTTGTGTATTACTCTAAAACATCTGCAGGAACATGCCTTGAGAGCACAACCAATTCTTGTGTATTACTCTAAAACATCTGCAGGAACATGCCTTGAGATACAACCAATACTGGTGTATTACTCTAATACATCTGCAGGAACACACCTTGAGATACAACCAATACTGGTGTATTACTCTAAAACATCTGCAGGAACATGCCTTGAGATACAACCAATACTGGTGTATTACTTTAAAACATCTGCAGGAACACACTTGAGATACAACCAATACTTGTGTATTACTCTAAAACATCTGCAGGAACATGCCTTGAGATACAACCAATACTGGTGTATTACTCTAAAACACCTGCAGGAACATGCCTTGAGATACAACCAATACTGGTGTATTACTCTAAAACATCTGCAGGAACATGCCTTGAGATACAACCAATACTTGTGTATTACTCTAAAACACCTGCAGGAACACACCTTGAGATACAACCAATACTGGTGTATTTCTCTAAAACACCTGCAGGAACATGCCTTGAGATACAACCAATACTGGTGTATTACTCTAAAACATCTGCAGGAACACACCTTGAGATACAACCAATTCTGGTGTATTACTCTAAAACATCTGCAGGAACACACCTTGAGATACAACCAATTCTGGTGTATTACTCTAAAACATCTGCAGGAACACACCTTGAGATACAACCAATCCTGGTGTATTACTCTAAAACATCTGCAGGAACATGCCTTGAGATACAATCAATACTTGTGTATTTCTCTAAAACATCTGCAGGAACACGCCTTGAGATACAACCAATACTGGTGTATTACTCTAAAACATCTGCAGGAACACACCTTGAGATACAACCAATACTGGTGTATTATTCTAAAACATCTGCAGGAACGCACCTTGAGATACAACCAATTCTGGTGTATTACTCTAAAACATCTGCAGGAACACACCTTGAGATACAACCAATACTGGTGTATTACTCTAAAACATCTGCAGGAACATGCCTTGAGATACAACCAATACTTGTGTATTACTCTAAAACATCTGCAGGAACATGCCTTGAGATACAACCAATTCTTGTGTATTACTCTAAAACATCTGCAGGAACATGCCTTGAGATACAACCAATACTGGTGTATTACTCTAATACATCTGCAGGAACACACCTTGGAGATTACAACCAATTCTGTGTATTACTCTAAAACATCTGCAGGAACATGCCTTGAGATACAAACCAATACTGGTGTATTACTCTAAAACATCTGCAGGAACACGCCTTTGAGATACAAACCAATACTGGGTGTATTACTCTAAAACATCTGCAGGAACATGCCTTTGAGATACAAACCAATACTCGGTGTATTACTCTAAAACATCTGCAGGAACACGCCTTTGAGATACAACCAATACTGGTGTATTACTTCTAAAACATCTGCAGGAACATGCCTTGAGATACAACCAATACTGGTGTATTACTCTAAAACATCTGCAGGAACATGCCTTGAGATACAACCAATACTGGTGTATTACTCTAAAACACCTGCAGGAACACACCTTGAGATACAACCAATACTGGTGTATTTCTCAAAAACACCTGCAGGAACATGCCTTGAGATACAACCAATACTGGTGTATTACTCTAAAACATCTGCAGGAACACACCTTGAGATACAACCAATTCTGGTGTATTACTCTAAAACATCTGCAGGAACACACCTTGAGATACAACCAATTCTGGTGTATTACTCTAAAACATCTGCAGGAACACACTTTGAGATACAACCAATACTGGTGTGTATTACTCTAAAACATCTGCAGGAACATACGCCTTGAGATACAATCAATACTTGTGTATTTCTAAAACATCTGCAGGAACACTTTGAGATACAACCAATACTGGTGTATTACTCTAAAACATCTGCAGGAACACACCTTGAGATACAACCAATACTGGTGTATTATTTCTAAAACATCTGCAGGAACACACCTTGAAATACAACCAATTCTGGTGTATTACTCTAAAACATCTGCAGGAACACACCTTGAGATACAACCAATACTGGTGTATTACTCTAAAACATCTGCAGGAACATGCCTTGAGATACAACCAATACTTGTGTATTACTCTAAAACATCTGCAGGAACATGCCTTGAGATACAACCAATTCTTGTGTATTACTCTAAAACATCTGCAGGAACATGCCTTGAGATACAACCAATACTGGTGTATTACTCTAATACATCTGCAGGAACACACCTTGAGATACAACCAATACTGGTGTATTACTCTAAAACATCTGCAGGAACATGCCTTGAGATACAACCAATACTGGTGTATTACTTTAAAACATCTGCAGGAACACGCCTTGAGATACAACCAATACTTGTGTATTACTCTAAAACATCTGCAGGAACATGCCTTGAGATACAACCAATACTGGTGTATTACTCCTAAAAACACCTGCAGGAACATGCCTTTGAGATACAAACTAATACTGGTGTATTACTTCTAAAAACATCTGCAGGAACATGCCTTGAGATGCAACAACCAATACTTGTGTATTACTCTAAAACACCTGCAGGAACACACCTTGAGATACAACCAATACTGGTGTATTTCTCTAAAACACCTGCAGGAACATGCCTTGAGATACAACCAATACTGGTGTATTACTCTAAAACATCTGCAGGAACACACCTTGAGATACAACCAATTCTGGTGTATTACTCTAAAACATCTGCAGGAACACACCTTGAGATACAACCAATTCTGGTGTATTACTCTAAAACATCTGCAGGAACACACCTTGAGATACAACCAATTCTGGTGTATTACTCTAAAACATCTGCAGGAACATGCCTTGAGATACAATCAATACTTGTGTATTTCTCTAAAACATCTGCAGGAACACGCCTTGAGATACAACCAATACTGGTGTATTACTCTAAAACATCTGCAGGAACACACCTTGAGATACAACCAATACTGGTGTATTATTCTAAAACATCTGCAGGAACGCACCTTGAGATACAACCAATTCTGGTGTATTACTCTAAAACATCTGCAGGAACACACCTTGAGATACAACCAATACTGGTGTATTACTCTAAAACATCTGCAGGAACATGCCTTGAGATACAACCAATACTTGTGTATTACTCTAAAACATCTGCAGGAACATGCCTTGAGATACAACCAATTCTTGTGTATTACTCTAAAACATCTGCAGGAACATGCCTTGAGATACAACCAATACTGGTGTATTACTCTAATACATCTGCAGGAACACACCTTGAGATTACAACCAATTCTTGTGTATTACTCTAAAACATCTGCAGGAACATGCCTTGAGATACAACCAATACTGGTGTATTACTCTAAAACATCTGCAGGAACACGCCTTGAGATACAACCAATACTGGTGTATTACTCTAAAACATCTGCAGGAACATGCCTTGAGATACAACCAATACTGGTGTATTACTCTAAAACATCTGCAGGAACACGCCTTGAAGTAAACATGACATACAAGAAAATTACATTCTCTGTGACCTCATATTCAGGGGACATTGCAGCTCAAGGATGGCATTACCAGGCCTCACTTACACACAGTAACTTGGCAAACACGTAACATTCATGTTGTGACCATGGGGACAACTTGACCGTTTGACATCACTGATCAATGTCGCACAAAAATCCCTTGGGCAATAAATGAGATATACTTAATATGATATCCATGTAATAAATCAGCATTATTTCTTCAATTACATGAAGAGGGGAGAAGGTGGTGGTCAGATTCTGACAGAAACTGAATGCATTCCACTTAACAATTGTGTTTTAATGATTTTCAACTTTGAGATAGGAATTAAGCTATCTGATCAGTGATATCATACAGCTATTTTGCACAGATATAGAAGATATGGGAATATATGATAGTACTGAAATATGTAGTACTGAGTCGTACCTTCACACTCTCTGTATCCCGAATGCCAATGACATGCTTGTTGCCACTACTGATCACCTGATGAACAACATGGACTCACATAAATTATCAATGTCCCTGACTACATCAACAATTTTGCATTTAGTAAAAGTGATACAGAGATAGGGATAATGAACAGACAAAATCAAAATAACAACAAATTTCAAAACCAATATTTTATGCTCAACAGTTTTTTATTATTTGAAAAGGAGTTGTAACTGACAAATTATCACACATGGATTCTGTACACTAAAAAACTCATAAACTAAAAGTACCACATTCATATCTGGCAACATGAGATGTTTACCATGTTTCATAGGATCTCCCAAATAAGCTATCTGACATCAATCATGTATGGAATAAGAAAGCCAAGTATGGATATTAATCAGGGTTGGTGGGTCTACAACCAAACTGGTAACCATGGTAACTCAATTTGTGTCATATAATACTGACTGAGTTTAGTTTTACGCCCAGCTTTTTAGCAATATTCCAGCAATATCAATGCACGGGGACACCAGAAATGGCTTACACATTGTGCCCAGTGTCATATAATAACATTTGGGCACCTGTAAGTAGACAACATGATGAGTGGATGTACCTTTGGTCTTCCTCCAGAGCATATACACAGCTTGTCATACCTGACAGTCAGCCCATCAGCACAGCTCAGCTCCTGGTTCACACAGATGACATATTTCTTAGTGGAGGCAAGCAACAGTCCCAACTGACAGCTCTTAGCACATACTGGGAAACTTCTTCTTTTTGTATAAAAAGAAATACATTCAATCCTCCCATGTCATTACATGTGTTTTCTTATGTATCCTGGTGTCTGGGGTTTTTCGACCAAAGTAAGATAAAAACGTATTTTTATGTTTAATATCATTTAAAGTTGTTTTTTACTAACCTTGAGTGATAAAGGATATATTCATCTATTTCACATAAAAATATCAAGTCTTTCCTACCAAAAATTGCTTCGATGACATCCTATCAGCAAAACTGTTGCCACTCTCAACATCTGGGGATTTTTTGTATGGGTTTTCGACGATGAGCCATATTTTTCACTCCGCACTGTGAGGGCATGTTGTGATCATGTGGCTTCCTATTTATATATTGCCTGTCACTAGCAGATGATCTTACTGAAATTCCGCTTGCTATTCCTTGTTATAGGCAGTTGATTTTGCATCTGAAGTGGTATTAACGATCACGGGTAAATAATTTTGATGTTTGTTTGCTTATTATATAAATTAACTTCCGAATTTCAGTCCAGCTAAAATTGTGTCGCCATGTTATGTAATGTACACTCATATTTTTGCTTTGATGCCATGATTTATAGTAGCGGTATATAACATGCATAAAAGCTGTCATGACTGCCTGGAATATTGCTCTCGGAGACTTAAAATAACATTAATTCACTCTCTGACTCCTACATGTCTGACAGCATCCAGCGACGTAGCTGTAGATTTGTGAACCTGCACATTAGGACAGCCAGCCTCCACAGTGCTGGATGGTTTCTCCTCAACATCAAATGTCTCCAGGGTTCGAGATAACTGCAACAAGTCAAACCTTCAACCTCAATATGTCTGCTATTACTACAATAGCATCTCTTTTTTAAATACCATTTTACATGGACATGTATATGTTACAGGGAATGTGTGAAACCAGGGATTTCACATAATCCCTAAAAGAGTCAGTGATTTTGTGAAATCACTGTGACCCCCAGGGATTTCATGTATTCCCTAAAATTTCAAGGGATTTCATGAAATTACTGATATTCGTGGTGTTCCATTACACACATTCCCTGTGATATCAGTGAATGTGTGAAATTAATGTTTGTACCTAAAATGGACACTGATCCAGAGCCATTCCCCGGGGATGGTTATTGCATTTGTTACTGTTTTTCCCCTGCAACTACCCAGATGATATCCCAGAATTCTTGATTGGGTTGAATCTCTAAACCGGCAAGCACAATTGATAGTATAAGTATAATACGTATTTGCTTGCATTGATCAACAAAGATGAAATCTGTTTCACTCATTAATACTTTCATCTCCATTATTATGGTAACAAATAAACACAATTCCACGTTTAACTTCATATGCCAGTGATACAAAATGTTAGGACTGAAAAAACCCGAAGTCAACCGAACGTCTTTATAGTTTTGTCTTATAATCCTAATGAATTTATCATTATATGTTTACGCATTTTTGGAACTCCATAAAAGTAAACCATCTGTTTTAGTGAATATAAAAAGACTGTAATATCTAGACATTTTATAGATTGCCAACATGGATCATATTTCACACACACGCACTATAGTCTGTTTGCAGTGAAAACGTACCGATGAATTTCACTTTAAACAAAAAAGTAAATCAAATAAAGTGAAATTAAGATGTGAATCCTCATAAATTTACCTTGCCAATTGAACATTTAAATCTCATAATTTTTTTCAACTTAGGATAAAAGTTGTTTAACAAACGATCATAGTTTCAAATCGCTATTATTGGTTTATATTACAAGGGGGTATGCACATTAAATGAAACTCCGAGAACAAGAAGGGTTGGTTTCTACGGTAGTCTAAGTTAACGCTCATCACGCACCGCACGTGCATTCGTTTCACTGTTCCACCTACATGCATATACCCCTGTTGTAATAAACAATAATAGCGATTTGAAACTATAAGTGACCACTCTAGTGTGGCGGTATCTCGGTCTCATCGAAACAAAACAGTTAAAAAATGAAGTGGAATGATTTTGCAAAAAATAATAATAACAAAATACATATATTTGAAGGAAGGACGCGTTGTTTTTAACAGCCACTTTACAACAGAATACATTCATCAACCAGTGTGTTGAGTATCTACTCAGACATGAGAAATGCCAAACGTGGACAGAGGAAGGAGGTGACCCTAGGAACATTCTTGGTATTATTATGCACACCATCAAGTTAATGACAAGTATAGAAAGGCGTGAAATCCGGTACCTGCAAAGGTTTGTTCACTCTCCGGGCCTCTGTGATTTCCTGATCAGTGTAAATCAAGACATTGTAAATGTTTTAAAATGGGAGTGAAGAGTAATAGCCGGTGATCAGGCTATCTTGTCCAAATAAATTAATTGTATCAGCATATACTCTGTACTTGCATCATAACTTTAGTCTTCTCTATTTCAAAAAAGACTGCCAGGGGTTTCATGAAATCCCTAAGCCAATATTTCAGTAATTTCATGAAATCCCTTGAAATTTTAGGGAATACATGAAATCCCTGGAGGCCACAGAGATTTCACGAAATCACTTACTCTCTTAGGGATTACATGAAATCCGTGGTTTCACACATTCCCTGTAACATATATATTTCAAGTAATAATAAGATATATGAATTTCGAATTATGTCAATAACTTTTTACCATATATCTCTAGCCAGTTTTTTTGTAAATTGGCTTGCATAGCTCTCTTCACCTGTGGACTGGCAGGTAAATTCTCTATAAACAACTGCAATATCTGTGATGAATTAGACCTACCTTCTGCTCCAATACCTACGATGTATTAGACCTACCTTCTGGTAGCTGGTTGCTGCTATATCTATGATGCATTAGACCTACCTTCTGTTAGTGGGTTTCCTGCTATATCTATGATGTTTTAGACCTACCTTCTGGTAGTTGGTTGCTGCTATACCTATGATGTTTTAGACCTACCTTCTGGTAGTTGGTTGCTGCTATATCTATGATGTTTTAGACCTACCTTCTGGTAGTTGGTTGCTGCTATACCTATGATGTTTTAGACCTACCTTCTGGTAGTTGGTTGCTGCTATACCTATGATGTTTTAGACCTACCTTCTGGTAATTGGTTGCTGCTATATCTATGATGTTTTAGACCTACCTTCTGGTAGTTGGTTGCTGCTATACCTATGATGTTTTAGACCTACCTTCTGGTAGTTGGTTGCTGCTATATTTATGATGTATTAGACCTACCTTCTTGTAGTTGGTTGCTGCTATATCTATGATGTTTTAGACCTACCTTCTGGTAATTGGTTGCTGCTATATCTATGATGTTTTAGACCTACCTTCTGGTAGTTGGTTGCTGCTATATCTATGATGTTTTAGACCTACCTTCTGGTAATTGGTTGCTGCTATATCTATGATGTTTTAGACATACCTTCTGGTAGTTGGTTGCTGCTATACCTATGATGTTTTAGACCTACCTTCTGGTAGTTGGTTGCTGCTATATCTATGATGTTTTAGACCTACCTTCTGGTAGTTGGTTGCTGCTATACCTATGATGTTTAAGACCTACCTTCTGGTAGTTGGTTGCTGCTATACCTATGATGTTTTAGACCTACCTTCTGGTAGTTGGTTGCTGCTATATCTATGATGTTTTAGACCTACCTTCTGGTAGTTGGTTGCTGCTATATTTATGATGTATTAGACCTACCTTCTGGTAACTGGTTGCTGCTATATCTATGATGTATTAGACCTACCTTCTGGTAGTTGGTTGCTGCTATATTTATGATGTATTAGACCTACCTTCTGGTAATTGGTTGCTGCTATATCTATGATGTTTTAGACCTACCTTCTGGTAGTTGGTTGCTGCTATATCTATGATGTTTTAGACCTACCTTCTGGTAATTGGTTGCTGCTATATCTATGATGTTTTAGACATACCTTCTGGTAGTTGGTTGCTGCTATATTTATGATGTTTTAGACCTACCTTCTTGTAGTTGGTTGCTGCTATATTTATGATGTATTAGACCTACCTTCTGGTAATTGGTTGCTGCTATATCTATGATGTTTTAGACCTACCTTCTGGTAGTTGGTTGCTGCTATATTTATGATGTTTTAGACCTACCTTCTTGTAGTTGGTTGCTGCTATATCTATGATGTATTAGACCTACCTTCTGGTAGTTGGTTGCTGCTATATCTATGATGTATTAGATACCTTCTGGTAGTTGGTTGCTGCTATATCTATGATGTATTAGACCTACCTTCTGGTAGTTGGTTGCTGCTATATCTATGATGTATTAGACCTACCTTCTGGTAGTTGGTTGCTGCTATATCTATGATGTTTTAGACCTACCTTCTTGTAGTTGGTTGCTGCTATATCTATGATGTATTAAACCTACCTTCTGGAAGTTGGTTGCTGCTATATCTATGATGTATTAGACCTACCTTCTTGTAGTTGGTTGCTGCTATATCTATGATGTATTAGACCTACCTTCTGGAAGTTGGTTACAGCCTTGACAAGATCAGTGGCAGTTACAAGCAGCACCTTCTCATCAGGGCATAATGCAGACAACTGCAATGAAATAGTAATTAACAGCAAGATCACATCATATCTACAAAGAATTTAGTGGACCGACATTAGAAATTAGTACATTTTGTCCTTGTGATTTTGAATTTGACCTGATTATGACCAGTCATGAAACCAGAGTGTGGACTTACAGCAATGAGAAATTACCATAGTGAATTTACATGTGACTTTAAATACAATAAACAATTTGCCTCGCTGATGACTGGAAATAAAACTCTCATCATCATTAACTGCATTCAAATAAAAACTGAAGACGCAACTATTTTCAGGCTATTATTCATAGACATGTTCTCCTGCTATTATTCATAGGCCTTAGTTCAGGCTATCATTCATATCATTCGAGGTCATCAAAAGTCGGTTTTCGGGTTTGTTGACATCACGAACTTTGCATACTCACGAACTTAGAATACGCTACACCCTTGGGGTGCAGGCTAAAACGGAACCACAGCAAAACGGCACCTGGCGAAAACGGCACCATTTGGACAAAACGGAACCTCGACTTGGCGAAAACGGCTACAAATCTTATGGCGTAAACGGCACAAACTAAAAATCTTATGGGGAAAACTAGTTTGTTATAAGATAATCGGATTGCAGATAATAAATACATCTACTACTATGTCGGAACTATCAAAATTTAAGAACAAGGATGTATTTTATATTCAAGGATACGATGTGAAAACTACTTTATACAGTAACGGCGCATTGAATAACTCAATTATTAGTGATATTCTGAACTCATTACAACAGTTCATTTCTAAAAGTAACCGCTTACAGTAATTATCAAATCTCACGATATATTCAATGTAAGGCAAGTTTTATATATTTGATTTTCTTCATGGCTGCTCATTTCTGCTAAGGCATATCCAACACTATACCTAACATATTTATTATTCAATCATTTATCTGTTATTTTGTCACAGTATTTTTCTTTGTTGTCAAATTATTTCAATTATGTATCCAGCTATTGGAACAATGTAATGGAGTTGCATCTATATAAGCCACTAGGCTTGTTCACCATCCAGGTTTCTTTTGACTTAAATAAAATGTGCTTAAACCAAATATATCTACTGTGCCGACAGTGATTGGAAGTGGGCATCCCATAGCTGACAATCGTGATTGCAGAATGTTTAGATAGTAAATACATCTACTGTGCCGACAGTGATTGGAAAGGGCATCCTGAATTTAGCGTGAAAACATCGCTAACCTTTGATGTTTTAAGTACATTTACTCAACTGAAATCGCCCCAGTGTCAAACTCAGTGTCAAAATGAAATTGTTTTAAACGACAAATGTACCTTATTGTTTCATCAATAAATATCTTAGTTGTGAAGCAGCGACGTTAAATAAAGCAAATAACAACAACCCATTGTTTGTTAGTTTTTGGTTTTATGGAGATTTTTCTTTTTGGGTATACATAACATAATAATTTTTCTGAATATACATAACATATATTATGCAAGCATAATGATATTTCATTTTTCATATTTTACCATTTTATAAGACATTTCCTGAAATTGTGTCACTGCCATATTTAAATTTGTAACATCATTTTGAAAAGAAAATCCAAAGATAATATTTATTTCATGTACATATATATTAAAATATCTAGCTTTTGCAATATAACATGGAGTTTTGAAATTGTATATTTATTGCTTATGAAAAAGACAAAATTCAAATGCCACATCTGTGACATCAGCCACTGGAGTTGTGACACATGAACATTGAGTAAAATTGGGTGGTGTAAAGTTAATATAAAAATATAGTTTCCCTACTTTTGTTACTGTAAAGTGTAGAAAAATATTGTGATAAGTTAGTTACCATAATTTTTTTGGTTTGATTTTGACTTAAGTTTGTCGGATACAAACATCTGACATAAATATGCACGGATTTTCAGAATGACTCATATGTTGATATAATCTAGCTGATGTTATAATGAAATGAAATAAAACATGAGTCAACGTCATACTTTGTTTTATATATTGTGCCGTTTTAGCCCAGAAATCAGTAGCCGTTTTCGCCAATATGGTGCCGTTTTCGCCACACAAATTTGGTGCTGTTCTGCTGTGGTGCCGTTTTAGCTATAACCCCACCCTTGAACCTCATAAATTGAATATACAGGCAATTTTTGTTGGAATCAGTGACGAAGGGAAGTGCTTCTTGTCGCCCTTCAATAATCGTACGATTATAACATATACCTACTGTCTCGGCACAGGAAACTCCAGCTATTCCCCCTCCGACGATAGCAAATGTACATATTTCCACAGCCATACTTGTCAGACGAACATTCAAGGGGAGATAATCTGTCGCTAACATCCCTGTATCATTTCACGATAGACTCGCTGCTGTGTAGTAGTTTAATAACATATGGGATTTGGGGGTTTTCTGTAATGAATAAATAATAACTTTAAAAAAGCATTGATTTTCTATACATTTCCCGGAGGACCTTTTTCAGGAATATTCCTTTTGCTCAGAAATATCACTTCCAAATAACTTTAATAAATATGAAGAATATATATTTCTAAGTTGACAAAAACTATGCATCTATTGCATATGTCTAATCATTTTAAATAAATTGGGATATTTTGACTACCCCCTTGGGACAATTTGACCAAACCTGGGGCTATCTGACCAAAAATCCGGGGCATTTTGACCAAATTTGCTAGGGCATTTTGTAGCTGGGGCAATTTGACTGGTATCTGCTGAGGCATCATTCATCCAGATTTAGACAGGTGGTACACGTACCACAGGTAAGGTATCAAGTACATGCTGCAATGTTTACAACATAAAATACAGATCAAATCAATACAAATCACTACATATACATGATACCATGGATGTATAGAGCATAACAGTATATATAATGACTTCCAGACGTACCGTATTTCCTCTGAAAAGTGCTTTTGTTTTTTTCAACGGAGTTCCAGACCCCGCGCTTAAAAATTGCGCTTACTGAGTCTAATTATCAGACACCGTAATTGTTAGTGAGACCCCGCGCTTATTAGACGAAATACGGTAGTTATCCGGATGGAATGACTGCTCATTATAGGTACACTATTACAGGAGATAAGACATACAGCACCTACCAGGTGTGTGGACCTGGGTTTGGAAGATATAGCAGTCAGTCGTACAGTAACCGTAAATAAGGATCTGTATTAAGTAGATATACATAGTACCACAATATATACGCGGCGTCATAATTGAGGGGTCAAGCTATTGGTAACACTATTCCTTAAGAGTTGCAAAATCATCGTTTTTTGTTTGAAATATATACAACTGAATGTTTTACAAACTTCCTTAACAGTATGGAAAAACACATCAGGCTGTTGAAATGTCATTATTACGTTCTTTAACGTTCGATACATTCTGACAGGTGAAGATCCGGGTTAGAACTGGTCTTCAGTAACCCATGCTTGTCGTAAGAGGCGACTAAGGGGATCGGGTGGTCAGGCTCACTGACTTAATAGACACATGTCATCGTATCCCAGTTGCGTAGATCGATGTTCATGCTGTTGATCACTGGATTGTATGGTCCAGATTCGATTATTTACAGACCGCCACCATATAGCTGGAATATGCATTGATGCTTTTCACTGTCGTTCAAATGTTTAGTTACCTGTTTGAAATTGCAGCTTAAAATGAGACGTTTATTGACACTCGATCTATCCATAGTGGGGGTCAGGCTATATACCTCACTGTTTAGAATCTGGTCAAACTCATCGGCAGGTTTCTGTCCGTTTTAATGTGAGTCAGAGTGCTATTGGTAGACTGTGGCAGAGATTTCAAGCCATTGGGTCCGTGGAATATGCACGTCGACCAGGTCGCCCCAGAGTCACAACAGTCGGAGATGATAGGCACATGATTAACACTGCATTACATAACAGATTCCTTCCTCGGTCATGGTTTGGGCAGGGATAACTCCTATCGAACGTACTCCACTGCGCTATGCATGGTTTTTATGATTGACCCTCTTTCCCCTTTACTGCAAGACGACAACGCTAGGCCTCATAGGGCCAGGATTGTCACGGAATTCCTTAGGCAGCAGGGTGTAGAGCGGATGGAGTGGCCAGCCTGCTCGCCAGACTTCAACCCAATCGAGCATGCCTGTGATGAACTCGGTCGACGTGTGTACACACGTCACTCAGCACCAGTGGATCTCCCAGGACTCCGCAGAGCTCTAGTAGAGGAATGGAATGCGTTTCCGCAAGCTTTCTTTATGAACTTGATAAGGAGCACGAGAACAAGGTGCACTTGTGTCCTGGACGCGCGAGGAGGTACACACGATGTTGAATGACCGAGTGCTTCATGTTTGTCATTTTCATGTTGGGGGGTTGGTCTATACAACTGATGTTTGCTAGTGCTGTTTTAACTTTTTGTCTGTATGTCACGACGAATCCAGGCACTTTGCCCACAGGAACATTGCCCACAAGGAGCTTGCCCACAGGAACTTTGCCCACAACAAATTTACAGGGGACGAACTTTGCCCACAATATAAATTTTAATACTCACCCACATTAAAACCCTGCTCAGGATGTGTTGTTCATAAAAGAGATCAAACATTAATTGCATTTCACCAAGGCTTCTCTGCTTGTTAGTATTTCCTTTTCTAATTACAATCAACACTTACCTTACTACTACACTGAAAAGGTTTCAAGAACGTCCTACATTCATTGGGAATCGTTAAATATATTAGAATGAACAATGAAGTGCTATTAATTTTTAACTATCAATGTGCTATATTGGGCTGTAGTTAAATATAATAATACATCATTGATATCATGTTGTATTATTATTGTGGGCAAAGTTCCTGTGGGCAAAGTTCCTTGTGGGCAAAGTTCCTTGTGGGCAAAGTTCCTTGTGGGCAAAGTTCCTTGTGGGCAAAGTTCCTTGTGGGCAAAGTTCCTGTGGGCAAAGTTCCGTACACCATGTCACGATGTGTCACGTTTGTCAACACATTAAACACTATGATGTCACTCTTAGTTCTATTAGGTCTAAGAAAATGTTCTTTACATGTGCTGTATATCATTTGATCCTTTATTAATGACGCCTAGTATAAGTCAATACACAACACACATGGCTACAATAATACCTAGTACATTGTATTATACCTACTTCATGTCAATGCACTCACCTGGAATATTGCTTAGCATGAGTGTATATATTACACTCATGCATATATACATCCCCATACATATCTACATCCCCATACATATCTACATAACGTACGTACCAATATGATGTGATTACATTGTTTCACACTACACAACCTCCATGGATTTACGTTAATATAATATTTACATCAAATGTATTTTGCTGATTATTTAACCGGTTTAAGAGGAGCCTGTCATGGTACAGATTCCCTACATTACACATAATTACATATACATACACGCATCTAATTAAGCTAAAATACCTATATTTAAAAGTGAGTATTATCCCAGTTAACAATTTCACGTTGTCACAACGTTGTCACGACGTTATACTTTCGTTGTCACAACGTTATTCTGTGGACTCCCATTTACGTTTTTCACAACGTTAAGGCCTCACGTTGTCATGTGTAATTTTATGTCATAAATATATTTTGAGTCAGGACAAGAGTTACCTCCCCTTTGACCACAACTTCACCTTTACGTGCCCTACAGTAGAATAGAGTTAGCTCCCTTAGAACAGCGCTGCAATCCCCTACGCTTTAAATAAAGGCGACAAGACGAGTACGCTTGTCAATCTCAATCTCTTTACTTTAGGGTCAATATACAGTGGGCATAATTATTTGTTCATATGTATCTATATATAGCATTACATAATATTTCACGTGTTAGACTTTGTAGTAGAGAACAGTACACAAGAAACATAGCAGAAATTCACTTCAGTGTTTATTCGTCAATTTTGCATGTTGTTTTGGTCGTGCCGGCAACGACCCCTTCAGCCGAATTGACTGACTGAGTTTAGCTTTACGCCGCTTTTAGAAATATTCCAGCAATATCACGGCGGGGGACACCAGAAATGGGCTTCACACACTGTGCGGATGTGGGGAATCGAACCCGAGTCTTCGGCGTGACGAGCCAATGCTTTAACCACTAGGCTACCCCACCGCCCCTCAGCCGCATTGAAAGCACACAATGTCAGCGATTCTACCCACTCGGCAGCTAAGGCTTCCAAAAATGGCAAGTATGACACATGTCAGCCTTGATCACGTAGTTGTGTACCTCACTGCCAAGTGTACATTGGCAGAATGAGTATTAGGTGCCTCGCTCTAGGAGTGTGGGTTCGAATCCCTGATGGGATTCAACCCCCAAAAGTACTAGAATCTGTATTTTACTGAGAAAGTGTAATCACAAACATGACATATTTATGTTGCCTTTGACCACTCTCTACACGGCATAGTGCATTTGTTGCAGTTCTGGTAATTCGATGGACACATGGGGGTTATATATAACTGGCGTATCTCCCAACTGTCAGACAGTGTATAGGAATTGTCAAGATAGGTTGGGTTTTTCCCGCTTTTTGTATACTGACTGACTGACCGACTGAGTTTGGTTTTACGCCGCTTTTAGCAATATTCTAGCAACATCACGGCGAGGGACACCAGAAATAGGCCTCACACATTGTACCCATGTGGGTATTCGAACCCGGGTCTTACTCTTCGGCATGGCGAGCCAACGCTTTAACCACTAGGCTACCCCACCGCCCCCCTTTTTGTATACACATAAGTAGGTACATTCATAGATTTCTACATAAAGGTCATACATTGTACGTTGAAGAGTCATGACACATCAGTCCATGCAATATATCTTTCAACTCAAAATAAAAAAAAATCTTTCAAAGTAGTAATGAAGGATTTAAAAGACAAAGATTCATCTCTAACACCTCTATGTGTGTGTGCGCGCGCGTGCGTGTGCGTGCGTGCGTGCGTGTGTGTGTTTCCGGCCAAAAGAATGTGGTTCAGCAGTTTGAAGTTGCAGTTCCCCGAATACCAAATAGGATGGATTTGAGATGTATCTGAATCTCCTAACACAAATGTTGTCTTAAAATTGTTAGTTCATACTAGAAAAGACCAACCAGTGGACATTCAAAATAGACACTTACACTCGATTAATTTTCGTTATTGCATCTTTTAGAGACTATTGTCGATTAACTTCATCTTAAACAATTCCTATTTAGTAATATATATATACTCTTCTAAAAAAAATAGAACTTTGACACGTTGTTTTTTAGTTTATATACTGAGTGCATATAACTGATTCAAACGTTACTTTATTGCTCGATTACAGTAAAATCACCACTTTACAAATTTCCAAAACATGA